ATCTTCGAATATATCAACTAATTTTAGATGATCTTCTTTTTCAAAATTGGATATTTCGATGTTTTTTCTCGAAAACACAAATTGATTGAATTTGAATAAAATTGCATGAAATAATCAGCAAAGTTGTTTAATTCACTCGGAACATCATTGGAAGAAGTCCAAACAACAATAAAATCATCAGGATTTTGTATCTCATTTAATTTTGTTGATGATAAGTTAAATTCATCCATTTGTTTTCTTAAACAAAAACGAATACCTTTATCTTCAAGAACTTTTGTCCTGCTACAACTATCCAATCGCTGAGAAAGATTTTACTTTTTAAGATAAATACGAATGTCATTGCTTTGTAAATAATTGATTCAATATTATGATTATTAATTTTATGATCGTTGATCACATTTTCATTGAAGTTTAATCGAAAGTTTTTCTTCATGAATAATTGTGATTCATGATTGAAACCTTTTTCTTCTATATTTCTTCGCTATTATTTCTTTTAATAAAAATCCAAACCATATTCGTCTTTCTAGCATCAATTTGCGTACCATTAAACTGTTTGAAAGTGTTTTTAATTTCAAATCTTAAAATAACATTGGTATCAAACGGGACAATAATAAGACTAATATCATTAGAACCAATTTCTTTGCGAAGAAAATTTCTAAGTTAATCTGCTTTATCACGATCGATATAAGTAGAAAAAATTTGTTCTGATTTTTTTCTTAGATTCATTCCATCAAAGATAAGAATATAAATCCTGTGAATGATATAATTTTTTATTCATGAAAAAGCATTTTCTCCATTAAGTTTGACTTGGATTAGTTGAGTTTTTCTGTCTGTTTTTTGTTCAACTTCAATTTCAAGTTCAGATAAGAAAGAAAGTTCTAAGATAGTCGAATAACAATCGTAATCAAAATTATATTTCTCCTCATTTTTCTCATCGCATCTCTGAAGAATTGAATTAGAATTGGAATTTTCAAAGTAATTTATGCATAAATTTGTTTTCGTAAATGTTGTGTGAATATGAATAAATTGTGAAGATACTTGAGTTAATCCTTCATTAGCGAAATAAATTAGTTCAATAAAAGACGAATTTAAATAAAAAACTGTTTTGAAATCGAATAATTGAGATTTAGTGAGAAAAATATTTAAACTTTCATCAAAAATAACTTTCAAAAAAATACAATCGATTTTGTTCTCATCTTTAGACCATGCTAATCTTCTTGCATAATTTTTTGATGCTCTTTGACAAATATTTTTCAACACAATCATTATAAATTTTCTTCGAATTTGCCATCGTATATTCATTTAAATTTGTATAGCTATCATCGAATTTAAATAGAAGATTCGCCGATGATTTTAATTCTCTTGGGACAATAAGATATGTAATGATTTCTTCTAGGAAATTTAAGTTAGAAAGGCGTTTTTCAGATAAATTCAGCAAATTTTGAAGATGTCCTCTCTAAATATGTTGATTCTTATTTTTTGAAAAGATTAATGATTCTAATGTATTATAAAATACTTGATACTGATGTCGATAATATTGTTCAACCTCATTCAAATTAACGAATCTCGTTTTTCCTTTTTTCCACTTAGCTATCAGTTTAAGAGTATCTCTTTCTATACCAACATGGCCTATCTTTTGAAAACCCTTTACTGTACTCGATAGACTTTCAAGACCGTTAAATTTTCCATCTTTAATTTTTCCTTCATCTTCATATCCACTTTCTAACCTTACTTTTCCATATCCCTCTTTCAATATTCCATATCGAAATTCTCCATGAGAAATGGTTGAAGCATGATTTTTAGATTAAATTCATAACGATTATATTGATCGTCTTTCCATGAACCAGAATAAAACTCTTCATTATTATTAATAGGAAATGTTCCTTGTCCTTCATGTAGAAATATTTCGTTAACTCTTTCACTATAAATTTCGTTTCCAATAGATAAATACTTTAACAAAATTTATCTTCTTTTCTTTTAACATTTGAAATCTCAGGTAAACATAGAACATCAACTGTATCATTTCTTTCATCATCACTACTTCTTTTATCAATAGTTTTATCATATGTTTTTATTAATCTTATTTTATTAAGAATAGTCTTTTTACTTTAAACATCAACTATATTCAAATTACAACTTATTGACACCTTGTTTTCGCTATGCTCTTCTCTAGAACTCGCCATTATTTATTATTCTTACTACTTAATTAAAATAATTGAAAATATTTCTTAAGACTTGAAACTGTTTCATTTAGATATCAAAATCTTACCTCTTTCTTCTTCTAATTTCGTCGTACCTTGTAAAATGTAAGAATTAATCGAAAAATATACGTTTTTTTCAAATATTGAGGTGTATACGATTAATCGATAGTTGAATATACCAAAAAGACAGGCGCTGTATATCTTCTCTCTTTATTTTGTAATTTGACCCTGTTTCATATGGTGCGCGTGTGTACAGTGAAAATATAGACTCCAAATCATAATGTTGTCTATCGGTAAACGGGAAAGAAAAAATTTTCTTTTCATTTTTTTTTCTTTTCATTCGTCTAGTCGATACTTTTATCGCTGACATTTTTCTTTTTTTTTCTCTACGTCTGCATGTTGTACAAAAAGAAGTATACTACAAAAGAAAAAAAGAAAATATACAGCGGCGTTGCTTTTACTACACTCAATTATCAAAAATCATTGATATTACACACTTTTATTATTCAGTTATCATTTATTCGTAATTCAATTGAAAACAAACTGACCCGTATAATTGAAATATAGATCAATTTGCTGTTCTCAACTTTTGCTTTTTAGCGATCGATCTCTCTCGATTGAATTGAATGAAATACAATTGAAATAGAAATATGCTTGTAAATAGGATTAAATGCAGAGTTAATTTCATGGAAGCGTTTCGTGTTATTCTTTTTGAAAATTAAACACTCGGCAAGACTCTGCATACAATGTTTACCCCAGGTGCCCGTTTTTCGATTTTGGGGATGGGGGTGTGGGTGGGTGGGTGTACGTGAAAGCAAGATTCACACCACACCCTTTTTTCTTGCTCGGCAAGCAGAATGACTAAGACTCGCTCTCTTACTTCCTAACCTGAAATGCGTTAGAGAAAGTAAACAAAGATAAAAACGAAAACAAGAGCAGTGATATGTGACGAAAAATATGGTGACATGAAAATAAAAACATTTTACGTGCGCGTATATAGATACTTGCTAACATAATGCATAAAACTTTCATATATGCCTATATTGTGTTTAACTGAAAAGTAAGTTTAGCATACTTCGTTAATATTCTGTATGACATGGCATTCATAAGAAGGATACTAACAAATTTATAGAGAAAAGTTATGAGCAGAGTGAAAAATCTTTTGATATTGGAAATTTTTCTGGTATTAAATGAAAAGAATGGAAGGAGACATGATTAGACTTCTATGTAAGTAATTTTGATTTATTATGAATGTACTTGTTTCTGTGCAGCTGTCTTATACACTCCGCCACATTCTCTGTATGAAATGAGTTTTACTATGTTTCTTTAGATTTGATGACATGAGAATAGGGCTTGAAATCAGATGTAGGCTTTTTTCCAGATGACTCATCATTACAAAATTAGACATTCGACATTCGACATTCGACATTCGACATTCGACATTATTCAATATATATTTGATCAATAAGATCATTGCAGAAATCAGTGCCATAATTCTAGAAATTCATAATCAAAACTCAAACATGATTGAAAAGACGATAATGATCAGAATCATGATATTTGTCTCTCAGAAAGATGTTGGCTTCAACAAATGAGAGTATGCAAGATATTCATTTTCTGTTGATAATGTGAGAACTAGCTAGATTTCGATTTATTTCACGATAAGATTCTGGATACTGATGAAGAATACAAACGCGATGATGAAGCCAGTAGAATGGATATTAGCAATGATTACAGTCAGAAAATAACGACTACTTGCAATGCCTCTTTTCTCCGTCTCTTATAACTTTTGTCATAGAACATCACGCATGTTAAGTCTATTCGAGTTAAAACTTGACACTACCGAATTTGTACGAAAGAGCATTTAACGTACAGGTCAGTGTGCTCTAATAGTAAAATAGCGTCTTTTTAATGCAAGACGTTCTTGTATTTTGGCATTTCACGAAAATATTACGAAAGAGTTTTAATATTTAAGATTATTTGGCTATCTGTCAATCAAATAAACGAAGTTTTTGGTCAAAATGTGATCTAATATGGCAAGTTTAAATACGAAACAAACATCGATACTGTTAATTTCTTACTTTTATTGAGTCATTTCTGAGAATAGTTGAAGGTTACCTATAAAAGAATGTGTTGCCCATATAATAGGCAAGACTCTGCCAAAGATTTCATTCCTATTATAATTTAGACTACATGATAACGATCGTTTATATGGTCGATATACTTCGATAATTCTGAGAATGCTTTTGACATAGATGAGTTAATTAGGTAAATGATTCATTAAAACGATTGTTATTTTGTGTTTGTCCCATTGTCGGCGGCATTGTCTCACAGCAAACTTGTAACCGGTTCTGGTAAACGACCGGTCCGGTAGAAGATTCTTTACTCGCAGGTAGACAAAATATTTCTTTACCAGCCGATCTACATTTTTTCGCATATCAAATCAGTATAACGGAGAACTAGGTAAATTGAGTCTCTTTTTTACAGATAAAGACTACGTAAAGGCAGCTGTACACAATCGAAATATCTCTGACATCTGGTTACGCATCATTATAACGTAATCGATTACAAGAAGTTAATCAATTATAAAATTAAATTTACATAATAAGAATTAATCACAAGATGGTAAATCAATTAAAATCTGCATCCAAAAGTAATGTACTCAGTTCTTTTTCTTTATCATTTAAAAATAGTCGTAGTTGTTATTATTCTACAGGGCACAGCGACAGTATAAGCCTGACATTAGCATCAAATTGTGCTACAGTTACGGTAAATACAACTATATCTAATATACATTATATGCTTGTTAATATTTTTCACTCACAGCAGCGTTATCAATTGTTAACGGATGGCCATGTTCAAATATATCGCATACCTCGTGCAAAAAATATTATAGAAAAAATACGTTTTTCACGTTTTTTTCACCGTTGGGAAGATCATCATATTTGTCTTGAACAAAGTGAAATAACTTCATCGACAGTTCGTGTTTATATAATTTTATATACAGTTAATAGAAAATTTCTATTTATATTTCTGTAGAGTGACAGATATATGGATAGATCGATAGCGTATTCAGCTATTGAAGATATATCTATATGGTCAAAAAGCAAAGTGACGGATCGGCATAGTCGATTTTCTATAAGAATTGTTACAAATAATCTTATTTATTTTTTTCAAGTAACAAAAAACAATATTATTTTTTCTTTTTTGAGAGAAAAATTTGAATGACCACCAAATATGTTTTTCTTTTTTTTCTTTGTTTTAGGTTAATACACTTGATTTCAGAGACCAATTGTTCTATTCAGTACAATGGAAAGTATGTTATTATTAATGATCTTTTTGAATTTTATTATATTATATTTTAATAGCTGAATAAATCAAAATTTGAACGTATTTTACGTTCGACTGATAATCAGGAAGTATTATTAAAAGAAATTACGGTAGTTTACTTTTTATGATCTTTTAATTAAAAATATGGATGTACCTTTGTTTTTTTCCCTATAATTAGAATATGATCAATTTTGTCATGACAACTCCGATTGAGGATGTTGAAGTTCATCATTTTCCACTTGAAATTATTTTCGAAATTCTGCAACAAGTAAAAAGAAAATCAATGTTTTTCTGCTTTGTATTGTAATCGTTTTTTTTACAACAGGAATTTAATTTAGTACATGTTTTTCGTGCAAATGTGATTGAAACACTAGAACCATTACTTGAAAAAAATTATCCATCGCCAGAAATGTGTAATTTTTTTAGTCGAGTATGAATAACATATATATTCATCACGTGCTTTTGAAAAAAGCTGTTATTTGTTTTGATTTAGCATTGTCGTGATGATTCACGCTCTCAAATTGTAATTCAAATGTTTACACGAGCTATTGAAAAAATTTTAAAACATAATACAGTATAATTTCATGATTAAGATTTAAAACTAAAACACAATTATGATTACTTTTTTTTAGGATTTTAGTAAATATCCACGATTGAGAACACTTGTTCAAGAATATATACTTGCACTTAATTCTCAAAATGATGGTCTACATGTTGTACAAGAATTTATTAAACGGTAATCAACAATATATATATATATTTATATTTATATGTACAATTATTTATATTTATCATAGACTACATGGTTCAACGATGGTTTGTCCATTTCTGCGTGTTCTCTCAAATTTAATCTCTGTTTGTCTTTCTGCAGTTTATAATGTTTTTCAAGGTCGAAAAAAGTAAATATATACGTTTTTTTCTGTTTCCATGTAAATTATTTTCTTTTTATTAAATAGCTTGTGCTTTGAAAATACCGAAAGTTGTCGAGCATATGAAGAAGAAACTAAAATTCAAGTAGTATGTTACACAAAAATATTACAAACAATGTAAGCATAAAATGCATAAGCCATTCTGTATCAAACACCTTAGATCTTAATCATCCATGCTGCAGATTTATTCTTCGTAACGGTTATAGATTGTTGGTTAGAGGATAATTATGGGTGTGCCACGGTAGGATCGTGTAGCCATCTAGTCATATTTATAAAATACTCGGGGGTGTAATGGTAGTGCTTTTGATCGCTACTACCGGTAGATGGCATCTAATATTAAATAGTTTACCTCGAGATGATGGTTACGGTTATCCGTATTTTTCACCGTAGCTAGCGGTATACAGTCATTTATGATCAAATATGCCGCTTAAATAAGCCGTATTTTACCGTATACAGTCTTATAGACATTGTACTTTTCATTTGGGAAAGTGCATGCAGTTCTTCTAGTTTGACATAAAAAAATGATTCATACGCAATTTCTATTTGATAAGTTTTCTTATTCCTTACAGATAATTTGAAAAAAGGCGACCTAATTCTTATAATCATGATTCTAAGTTATTTTTCAATTCGAATTAAGTTTTATAGATTTTTTTTAAATCTAGGTTTGTTACACAGGCTACTTTTCGCCTCATAACATCCAAACAATTATTTTGTTATTTCTTCTTACATAAGATATGGTCAATAGTAGTAGTGAGTTTACATAGAAGCAAAATTTGGAGTATCTTTACTATTTTTCATGAATAAAATTGACTTCGAAAAGTGCTGTGTGTATAGCTTTACTGCATTATAGTTTATCATACAGATTGTTACTCAAATTTTCAATTTTCAATAAATGATATAGATTTAGAAAATTGCTTTAAGGATCATATATAAAATGATACTAAATTTTTCTTTTCATATAGATCCACATTTTACGACTGGCGACATCATCTTGGCTTGGTTCTACAACCCGTTCCTTTTCAAGATGAAGCACTAAGACATGATCTTTTTATCGCGTAATAATTTTCTTTCTGTCTTCACATGAAATATAAATATTTTCTATATTATTTGTACTTATTTAAAATAGAATATTTAAAAATGTTCTTAAAAATCTCGTTGAAGATACACGATGTGAAGTTCATCAGAAAGTGTTAGGTATTCGTGAAGGTAAAGACGGATGGTTTGAAATGTGTTGTTTGAGTGGTATAGCTTGTGATGATAATGGCAAAATGTTTTCATTAATGGTAAAGAAAATTTTTTAATACAATAGCATATTTTCTTTTTTTCTATTTGAATTTTTCAGCTCAGTAAATTACTTTCATGTTGTTGTCGAAAAAGAAGTTTCTTATTACGTATTAACAAATTATTACCAGCTTTAAAGTTACTTGCATTACGTGAAAGTCAAAGTTCATTAGATGTAAATATCAAATTTTTGACTATTTATTTTGAATATAAAAAGAAAAAGTTCATTTAGACTTTATGTGCAATGTTGGAATTCGATGCAGTTGAAAATCATGATACTGAATTACAGTTAATATCAACACTGCAATCGACACCCACAGGTTTCACGATGTATGCAGAAGTATGTAGACGAAAGATAGCATTAAGAACATTCCAACAAAAAGGTGGACCAAGAGAACTAGAATTGCCGACATATTCAACTGATGTCGATTTAGCAATATTATTATCAAGAGGTCCATTTGGTAATCTTGAATGTTTAAGTTTAGCATCCACGTATATCACAAGCGCTTGTGCAAAACATTTAATTAAATTACCAGCTTTAAAAGATTTAAATTTATCTTCAACACAAGTGAGTTAAATAACGAAAATTTTCATTAAAAACTATTATTGAATATTATTTACTTTAGTTTGGTGATGATGGTTTAGAATTAATTTCTGAACATTTAAATCAATTAAAAGTACTGAATTTAAGTGAAACACCAGTGACTAATAAAGGTCTTGCTTGTTTAGCACGTAAGATTATGATTTTTGTTTTTTTTCATGTTTTGTTTGATGTTGGTCTGAATATTAAGGCATGAAAACGTTACAAGTATTTAAGTTAACTTCAACAAATTTATCTTTGTTAACATTTGTAACTTTAAAAGTATAGATTTGAAGATATAAATATTGTATTCGAATAAAACCACTGGATTATTTATTCTAGGAAGAACTACCAGATTTAAAAGGATGGGATATACGATATACAGATGCTTGTTAGAAGTACATTCTTGCTTTTTGTTTGAGTTTGGTATTACAATAATCTTCAAAGAACAAAGCTCATGCATTTTCATCATCGAATAAAGCCGTACAATAATCAGATTGAGGTCAATTTTATTGTTCTTTCGACTTTATATGTGAATATTCGCTTTCAGTTCGACTTCTTCTTGTGTTCGTGCATCTTTTTTTCTTATCCGTAACGAACTGTTTGTTTCTTCTACGTTATTTTTTCTTGTTCAAGTCAAGTTTGGTGTGCATTATATTAAAGCCTTAATTTTGTATCGCTACCGCTTGACATGTATAAAGCAATCTCTTGCTGAATATGCTTTTTTTTCTTGCTTTTATCAGCCATTCATTATATTGAGTAACATAATGATTTAGACTTATTACTATTGTTCATTTTAGGATTAAGTAACCAATGACCATTGCTTGCTTAACTTTGGATCGTTTAATTTGATCGAGCTTCGACTTTCACCATTGAAATGAGCGACTTTCGAAACATCTATCTGCATAATATCGATGAAGTTCGAAAAATTTTTCCACGGCTATTTTTGAAAAAGACGCCAAATTGTAGTCTAAATTACTAGGGATACATGGTAAAACTTTGACATATTTATATCGCCTCGTCGATCTTTTTCAAATGTGATAATTTTACCACGTACATAAGATATAAAAACAAACGTAGAATTTCTTTGAAACTAATCAATGCTATGGAGATTGACGTTCTAGAGATTGCTTTATTCAGTGACGAAGCTCTGAACTGGAAAACGTTAAACGATGTTAAGTTATTCAAAACAAAGCCACAATCATTTAGCTTTGAAATAGGCAACGAAAAGAAAGCAAGAGCGAGTCTCTGAAGGCATTGATGATGAATCATATTTATTAACATGAATATTTTATGGTTTGTCTTATTTTTTAACAGAAAATATAAAGTCAAATTATATGTATGGACAGAATCGTTTTGCAAATAAAAAAGCAAAATAGTTTCATTCATTGGTGAGCTTAATTGTCTTTCGTCTAGACCTTGATCTCGTCTATAGAAAGTCGATCAGATTAGCATCAATGTCTTTAGTTAGTTTATCCGATGTTTTCAAATAAATTTGAATCGCGAATCGAACCGAAAATGGGTTTTTTCAGTTTCTCTTGTCACAAAATCGAAATCGAACCCCGTGAAATAAAAGAGTCACTCTCATTTCATATAATATTTGAAATAATTACCAATGGAATTTTTTTCTTATCAAAAATAAGCAATGATTAGCTTTTATTTCGAATTATCGGTCCTTTTTTTGTTAGCAATTTTTGTATCGTCAATATTTGTTAAATTTTTATTTATTAATATTATCATAGAAAAAATTACTCGTTTTCGAAATTTCAATAAATATTTCCATTGTTCGGAGTACCTCTTTTGTAAACGCTGAAAATATAATAGAAGAAGAAATGGATTCAAATAGAGCAGTTCTTCGAAGATAACACGTTTTCTTGTTACAATATCTACGGAGTTTCGGATAAAGTCATAATTAATTATTCTTTTTCTATTTTTTCTTTCTCATTACTATCTCGATAGTTTTCTTATCATTATATTCAAAGATAAGGGATGTCATCGATGACAATATTCACTGAGATAGAAAACAAACAACCCATATCTCTTCTCGATATATGTATATTTAAAAAGAAACGAAAGGGTGTGAGTATGGGTGCTGATATTCTTTTCTCCCTCACTTACACGCATATCCATACCTTTCGGTAGGGAATTCATATTATTTTTTATTTTTATTCATCATTTTAGAATACACTAATAGACAGAACCCAAAGTATTAGAGAATATCAATACGAAGAGCAGGTCGAGTAAATATGTCCTTATTGATTGTCTGTTGTGCATGGTTCACCGGATTCTTGCTTATGACCAACTTGAAAGTCTAAAGAGCAGGCATGTAATCTCGAGCAATAAACCTTCGAATCCAATTTAGAATTTGATTATCTATGCCTCCGTTGATAGGATGACGCAACATTAAATGTCGTAATTGAACCATTACATTCTTGGTATAGTCATTTTGAGTATCCAGCAATAACGAGATTGATGAACTTTTAAAGTGCACATAAATTTTGACTTGACGAAGGCACGATAGTAGACCATAAAAAAGACGAAGAAGCACGTGACGCTCGTCAACGGTTAGACATACGAAACATAAAAAAACATTTCTTTGATAAAACTATGAAAGAGCTGGTAAACTTACTCAAGATCGGTCGATAAGATCGAAATGTGAAGCACATTTTCTATTATCTCTACATCAAACATGTGATGCTTGCTAAAGTAGCAAAAATGACTTCTTATTTCAATCGAGCTTTGATGTCAGAGCTCAAAATCAGCTAGACTCAGCAACCACAAGTCCTTTCTTTGCATTTTTTGGACGTAGTTTTCGGAAATCATATATCCCTAGACATAAGAACTGAAAGATTAAAAATTTTCAACACGTCGGGGTACACTGTGGAGTCATCGAAGCGGTAGATCAACTCCTAATGACTATATATCGAATAGATCGAATACTGGATGTTAATGATGACTTTAGAAAACAGAGACTTCGATATATTTTTCAAGGATATTTAACGTGGTATGTTCGTTTTTTCCGCAACATGTACGTAGGTGAAGTTATCAGCGGATTTGAGTAATTTCACCAGTGATTCGCTCACAAGGCTGTTCCAAGCATTCCAATGTGTGTTCAACGTACAACTCGACGAGCTCTATCCATTGGTATGCTCCAATTTTTTATAACCCAAACTATAATTTTCACATTTGCTATAGCCCTATCTATGGTTCCAAAAATCGTCATTTGGACTACGGAAAATCTGAGCATACCAATGGATAGAACTCGTCGAGTTGTACTTTGAACACATATTGGAACGCTTGAAACAAGCTTCTGGACGAATCACCGGTGGAATTACTTGAATCGGCTGCTAACGCCTTCACCTACGTGCAATATGCACAATATCACAAGAACATTATTTGAGTAGGTGACAGGATGCTAGATATGGTGTTGAGAAAAGTTGATACGAACCCTCAATGCCTATCTAAGTTTATTTTCAGACAGACTCTATTAGATAAATTTCCAAAGGTCATTATTATTCGGATACAAAATAGCTTAAACTTCTTCCTGCCTTCTGCATTCTCTGGACCTCAATGATCGTTTCATCAATATTTACAGGAAATTTCATCACTGAAGAATCAGTCACGAACGTAAAAACAGAGAAAATAAAAATTCTGGATGTGGGTGGAGGGATATGTGTGAGTGATGAGAAGACAACATAGTCACCCACACCCACCCACATTCACACGTCCACACCCATACCCACACCCTACTCCAATAAATACTTATTGCCATACCGATGAAATTAAAGGTAGACACAATCGATAGAGCATAAATGAATATACGAGAGCAATCTGAATTCAATGAGAAAAGTTTTCGAAGAAGATAGATCTGTAAAAAGAATATGACTAATGGCAAAACGTGACTACCTATCAACTGAACATAAGTGATACACTTTTCTGAATTATCAGATTTGTTCAATGAAATAGTACAGAGACAATCATCATAAGGAAGTTCACAATATAAAAGTGGTGAAATGTGTGTCACATTTAATCCATGAGAATCAAGGACTGATTTTTCGGCTTCGCCAAAAAGACGTAGAAGATATGAATTGAAACAGCCAATGGCGTAAACAATACAACTAAAACCAAAAATGCAGCTCACGTGCTCCAGAGTCGAATAGATGCGAAATTGTATTTTCTTTGTGATATTCTCTGTTGTCGTCTATATATTTGTAGAATTACCAGTTGTGATGAGAAGAATATCTGAAACGAATTAGGAAAATAGATAAATATACGTTATTTACAAAGAATAGCTCATTATGTTTGTAATGACCATGTTTAACTTTTCGGATCAAGAAGTAAATGATAATATGTAATTATGCGTAAACAGATTTTTCTAACTTTCAGATATAGTCAACTCAATGATAATTAATATTCATTTGAGAAAAAAGTTCGATCTGTTACAGCTTTTGTATTTAGATAGACCTTTATGGTATAGAAGATAGTAGATATATTTAAAGAATAATCAACATTCACTAAGATTATCTCTCTCATATTACTGAACATGCATGGGAATTATCCTGATTATATCTAACAAATTTCTCTAGATATGTTACTTTTCGAAAATATTATCATTGGATTTTTTTAGCAAAGGAAACAAACACAAACAAGATCTAATCTTTTTCTTCAAACAGACTTTTCATCTTATGATTGTGTTGATCGTACAACGTTAAAAAGCTGTCTAAACAATTCGAAAATATTCTACTTTTCTTTCGAATCATATCATATGCACAGACAAGAAAAGTTCTTGAGAAACGTTTAACGCATATAGAGACAAAGAAAAATATATGATGTACATGAAAAAGAAATATGAATATGAGTTTTTACCTCATACGGTTGTTTGTTAACATTAGTTTACATAACATATCGAGAGAGATGCGGTAAGGGTAGTTGATGGCTAATAGTTTAATAATATTTATTATTATTAAAAAGAAAGCAAGTTTGATGAAAACTGGAATTTCGAAGTACGATCACACATTATCTATTTGTTTAGTTGTTTTCAAGATTTCATACTCACAGATTATTAAAGACAATTCACAACGTTCAATATTGTATTCGATTGTTAATCGAAATAAAAATGATAGCTCATTTCGATGCCATAAACATATATGGTGAACAGTGTTTCTAGTTATAAGTATATCAAGCAGAAGCATAATTTAAACAGCAACTACTGCTTCTGATACACACCTTAATACACAAAGTGCTCAGAAAATCAGAGTGTACATAGTGCACTTTCCTGAATCCTTTGTTTCGGACATCATCCACAGTGCTTTGATAGAAGAAATAATAAATGAAAACTTATTCTCATTTGTATAAAAAGCTCTACCGTTTACACTTGTTTGTTTAATCAAGTTTTGAGTATCTCACAAAAAACTTACGCGCATTTGCTATTATGAACAGAATATAAACAAACATTTTATATTTCGCATGTCCATTGGAAACATTGATGGTGACAAATCACCGATATGAACGAAATTATTGTATTAGTTATTAAATGTATGTCAACACATTAAAATGCGAAAAACGACGCCGTTTATTTAGAGACCAGAAAAACAGGCAAACAATAAGAGAACTCGCTATACAAAGTAGAGATGTAGTTGTTACGTAGGATGAAAGCTATGTATATCATGTATATACGTCAGACAGAAATGGTAGACAAAGAACGAAGATCATTTGAATGATGTATAAACAATCACATGTCAATATGAAAGATGTTGTTATCATCAAGCTATGTATAACTTCTTGCGGTTCATAATGTGCTTTTAAAAAATTTGAAAATCTTTTGGTTTTACAGGTTTCATATCAAAACTAGGATCAGTTGTAGTAGTTTTATCTTCATCTTTCTCCTAAATTTAACATCAAAATAATCAAATAAATCTTTCATTTTCATGACTTCGAATTAATCTCATTCAACACTAAATTCTAATCGATCAAATATTGTATATGTACTTGTATAAAATTCTTTTAATGAAATTACATTAAGTATTATTTTTCATAATGGAATAGAATTTTTATATGTTATAGTTTTACCAATTGATAAAAGAGATTTTGTATTTTCTTTGGATATATCAGCTTCATAATTTTCTAATTGCTTTTCAACAGTTGATTTTAATGGATGTGAACAACAACGAATAAGTGCTTAAGTAACTAAATAAAATAAATTTATTAAAAAATAAGTTAAAAACAGTCGAATAATACCAATTCGAGATGATAAAAATGGTTTATAGCAATTTGGCTTTGTTTGTAAAACTAAAATCATTTTAATAACAGATGAACATGTTGTTGCTTGCGTTTAGGTTGACAACGTAGATAATAATCAATTGTCATCTAAGTTAAACGTCCAAGTGGACCGAAAAATTCTTCTCCAGTCTAAAAACAAAAATTCAATTAAATATAAATAAGAAATTTATTTATTTATTTTTTTTTACATTTGTCATTTCAATAATAATAGCTGAAAGAACATCAATTAAATTCGGTAAATCATAAAAACGTTCATTAAATACATTTACTGCTTGAGATAATCTCATTGTTGGCATTGCAATTTGTTCACAACGTTGAATTAAACCAACAGATATAAATTTAACATCTTCTTCTGTACCATAAAGTTTTCAAGCCCATTAAAGAATAACTTAAAGCGATCAGAACTGTCTTCACTTGTTACATTAGCAAAAATTCCATAACCACGAATTCCCATTGCCAAATCTTTAATTTCTAATTCAGATGTATCAATTTTATCTCGAAATTCTTTAATAAAATATTGAAAAACTTGGAGAGCACGTCGATGTTCTTCTAGTCTATTAATATTTGTTTCTTTGAATGCATTAGCTACCTAAAATAAAAATTCAAAAGTCACCTAATTCGATTAATTTGTTTTTCTTTAAGATTTTACGTCAAGTAAAAAAGTATCATAAACACATTGTGCTACTTTTTTAACGTCATAATTATCATGTGCATTCCATGTAAGAATACATCGAAGTATTTCTGGATAATCATCATAAAAATATTCAGTAAATAAAGTTGAATGTTGAGCAAATTAATCGAAAGCAATTAAAAATAAAATTTATTCTTAATAAAAAATTTTATTTATATCTTTAACTAATGCATATCGATTTGAATTTGTTTGATCTTGTGTTTGTATTGAACGTGTTGCATAAATATAAATACGTTTTAAACCTGATTCAAATCGAATACATTCTTTATTTAAACGTTTATCTTCTTCTTTATTTTTACTTCGAATTAAAGATGAAGGTGGANTCTATATATTATTAAAGACGAGACGTTATACTATATATTGCCTTAGTAAAATATTCAATATTTATTGCTTTATTAAATTTTAAAAACTGTGATCAGAACTTTTGGTATACCCTAAGTATTAGGTATAGTTAAAGAATAATTAACATTTACTAAGATTATCTCTCTCGTATTACTGAACATGCACGGGAATTATCCTGATTATATCTAACAAGTTTCTCTAGATATGTCACTTTTCGAAAATATTATCATTGGATTTTTTTAGCAAAGGAAACAAACACAAACAAGATCTGATCTTTTTCTTCGAACAGACTTTTCATCTTATGGTTGTGTTGATCGTAAAACGTTAAAAAGCTGTCTAAACAATTCGAAAATATTCTACTTTTCTTTCGAATCATATCATATGAGTTTTTATCTCATACAGTTGTTTGTTAACATTAGTTTACATAATATATCGAGAGAGATGCGATAAGAGTAGTTCATGGCTAATAATTTAATAATATTTATTATTATTAAACAGAAAGCAAGTTTGATGAAAACTGGAATTTCGAAGTACGATCACACGTTATTTATTTGTTTAGTTGTTTTCAAGATTTCATACTCACAGATTATTAAGGACAATTCACAACATGCAATATTGTATTCGATTGTTAATCGAAATAAAAATGATAGCCCATTTCGATGCAATAAACATATATGGTGAACAGTGTTTCTCGTTATAAGTATATCAAGCAGAAGCATAATGTACACAACAACTGCTGCTTCTGATACACACCTTAATACACAAAGTGCTCAGAAAATCAGAGTGTACGTAGTGCACTTTCCTGAATCCTTTGTTTCGGACATCATCCAGTGTGCTTTGATAGAAGAAATAATAAATAAAAACTTATTCTCATTTGTATAAAAAGCTCTACCGTTTACATTTGCTTGTTTAATCAAGTTTTGATTATCTCGCATAAAACTTACGCGCATTTGCTATTATGAACAGAATATAAAGAGACATTTATATTTCGTATGTTCATCGGAAACATTGATGATGACAACTTACCGATATGAACGAAATTATTGTATTATTTATTAAATGTATGTCAACACATTAAAATGCGAAAAACGACGCCGTTTATTTAGAGACTAGAAAAACAGACACACAATAAGAGAATTCGCTATACAAAGTAGACGTTGTTGTTGCGTAGGATGAAAGATATGTATATCATGTATCTATGTTAGATAGAAATGGTAGACAAAGAACGTAGATCACTTGGATGCTGTATAAACAATCACATGTCAATATGATAGTTGTTGTTATCATCAAGCTATGTGTAACTTCTTGTGGTTCATAATGTGCTTTTAAAAAATTTGAAAATCTTTTGGTTTACCAGGTTTCATACCAAAACCAGAATCAGTTGTAGTAGTTTCATCTTCATCTTCCTCCTAAATTTAACATAAAAATAAATCAAATAAATCTTTCATTTTCATTGCTTCGAATTAATCTCTTTCAACATTAAAATCTCATCGATCAATAATATGTAAAATCGATTCCATTATTTCATCATAGAATGAAACAAACGTATTTTGTCGATCAAATATTGTATATGTACTTGTATAAAATTCTTTTAATGAAATTACATTTAACATTACTTTTTACAATGGAATAGAATTTTCATATGCTACAGTTTTACCAATTGATAAAAGAGATTTTGTATTTTCTTCAGATATATCAGCTTCATAATTTTCTAATTATTTTTCAACAGTTGATTTTAATGGATGTAAACAACAATAAATAAGTGCTTAAGTAACTAAATAAAATAAATTTATTTAAAAAAAAATTAAAAACAGTCGAATAATACCAATTCGAGATAAAAATAGTTTATAGCAATTTGGCTTTGTTTGTAAAACTAAAATCATTTTAATAACAGATGAACATGTTGTTGCTTGTGGTTTAGGTTGATAACGTGGATAATAATCAATTGTCATGTAAGTTAAACGTTCAAGTGGACCAAGAAATTCTTTTCCAATCTAAAAACAAAAATTTAATTAAATTTAAATAAAAGTTTTCTTATTTTTTTTTTTACATTTGTCATTTCAATAATAATAGCTGAAAGAACATCAATTAAATTCGGTAAATCATAAAAACGTTCATTAAATACATCTACTGTTTGAGATAGTGTCATTGTTGGCATTGCAATTTGTTCACAACGTTGAATTAAGCCAACAAATATAAATTTAACATATTCTTCTGTACCATAAAGTTTTCAAGCCTATTAAAGAATAACTTCAATTGACCAAAACTGTCTTCACCTTTTACATTAGCAAAAATTCCATAGCCACGAGTTTCCATTGCTAGATCTTTAATTTCTAATTCAGATGTATCAATTTTATCTTGAAATTCCTTAATAAAATATTGAAAATCTTGGAGAACACATCGACATTCTTCTGGTCTTTTAATATTTGTTTCTTTGAATGCATTAGCTACCTAAAATAAAAATTCAAAAGTCATCTAATTCGATTGATTTATTTTTCTTTAAGATTTTACGTCAAGTAAAAAGTATCATAAGTACATTGTGCTACATTTTTAACATCATAATTATCATGTGCATTCCATATGAGAATACATCGAAGTATTGCTGGATAATCATTATAAAAATATTCAGTAAATAAAGTTGAACGTTGAGCAAATAATTTCAAAACAATTAAAAATAAAATTTATTTATACCTTTAACTAATGCATATCGATTTGAATTTGTTTGATCTTGGGTTTGTATTGAACGTGTTGCATTAATATAAATACGTTTTAAATCTGATTCAAATCGAATACATTCTTTATTTAAACTTTTATCTTCTTCTTCATTTTTACTTCGAATTAAAGGAGAAAGTGGATGAACTATATAATCAAAAAAATGAATTTTTGGTTTTTTATTTCTATAGAATTTTACGAGATGTTGATGATGGGGTAAAATTAATAAGATAATAAGTCCAATCTTCAATTGCATCTGCAGCAAGTAACATTTCAAATTTAACAACATCTTTAACTAACTAAAAAACAAAAGCTACTTAACGCAGCCCCTTTGAGGCTGAAATGTAGAACTCACATATCTTAAACTTCATTATACTATCACAAAATACGAAAAATGAATCGTATGTAACAAACGATAGTTGATTTCTAAAAATAATCGACCGTGAAAGAAACTATGTGTCTTATTTATATTCGCATTTTCAACAGAATTTTTTTCTGTAATTGTTTCTACTGACGTTCTATTTTTTATTTGCTTGTTGCTATTCGCTTATTATTTATTTTCTTTTTTTTCTTAATTTCCTATTATTTCTATTTTTCTAACCAATGATTTAACTGA